AAACAAAGTCACTATTTGCTGATAGAATGAATTAACGTATTGCATCTCGCAAGTTTGGTTCTAAAGATTATTCGCGGCTCTGCAAGAGTGTCCTGAACAACAACAAATCCACAATTCCACCTCTATTCAATCAATTCGAAGTCCTAACTTTCTCAGCTGATAAGTCTGAATGCTTTGCTCGGAAATTCTCATCCAATTCAACACTCGACTTATCCGGTGTACCCATACCTGATTTTCACCTCTACTGAGTGAAATGAGCATAACCCCGTGGATGGTATTGGGCATCATCTCCAAATTAGACTCTCATAAAGCAAGTGGTGGTGACGGGATACCACTTGTAGTCCTAAAGAAATGTACTCCTGAGCTGGCTCAATTGCTCTCCAAACTATATAACTATTGCCTAGCTGACTCTTGCTTTCCAGCCTTTTGGAAGTCCTCGTCTGTTGTCCTTGTTAAGAACTCTGGAGACCCTTCTGACCCATCTAACTATCCTCCTATCAGTCTCCTACCACTCTTCGGCAAAGTCTTCGAGACTTTAATCAATGTCGAAATGGTTAAGCATCTTATCTCCCATGATCTACTCTCTGACAAACAATATTTTTTCCGCTTTACCCGGTCCACCGCTGACGTGCTTACGGCCATAACTGAATGTGTATTCCAAGCTCTTGATAATAACGGCAAAGCACGAGCTGTGGCTCTAGATATCTGTAAGGTGTTTGATAGGGTTTGACATGCCGGCCTTCTTCGTAAGCTTCAGGGATACGGCATTACAGGATGATTATTTGATTTAATCCAATCATTCCTGTCAAACCGTGAAATGAAGGTCGTCTTAAACGCGTTCTCCTCCTGTTCGTTTCATATGAACGCTGGTGTCCCCCAAGGCTCTATCCTGGATCTTACACTGTTTCTGATCTTCATCAACGATCTTCTGGATGTCATCAGTTCTCAAGTAGACAGCTACGCAGATGACACTATCATTTACTCCTGTCTCAGTAGTAAATCCGGCATTGCTGAGAAAGTTAGCCTGGCCGTTGGTCTCCAAAAGGGACCTCCAATCTGTGGTTGACTCGGGTAGAATATGGCTTGTAAACTTTAATGCCTCCAAAACTGCCTGCCTCAACTTCACGAGAGCGTCTCTCTGCGCCTTCTTGGTCTCACGTTTTTCACTGACCTGATGTGGAACAACTACATTGAATGAAAAGCTTCATCTGCCGCAAGGAAAGCTGATTCTCTGTGTCGCGGCGGAAGGTTTTTTCTCGTCTGAGGTCCATCCTTCCAATCTACAAATCTACCATTCGTCCTTGCATTGGATACTGTTGCCATATATGGTCTGCTGCAGCCGCTGTTCATCTCGAGGTTCTCGACAAAATCCAAAGACGGATATGCAATGTGATAGGTCCTGACCTGGCATCTCGACTCTACTCACTTTCTCACAGATGTGATGTGACTTCCCTCTGTTTTTTCTATACATATTTTCATGGCCACTGCTCTGACGAGCTATTTTCACTGGTGCCCCGACTTCATGAATTTAAGCGTGCCACTAGGTTGGCTTCTCAATCCCACTATTTCACTGTCGAAACAGTTAAATATAACCGCCTCTTTTACACCAACAGCTTCTTCTTTCGCACTTCCCGACAGTGGAACTCCCTTCCTCGTACTTGCTTCCCTGATAGCTATAATATTAAAATGTAATGTCAATTGATATCTTCTGATGCCTTGATCTTGTCCTTTGCTCAAATACTCCTCTTTACTCTTACTTTCACTCGCTGTAACCCCTTGCGTACTAGTCACATTTCCGCCTTGATTGGGAGGAAATGCTTTAAAAAATTGCTGTAGACAACGAGATATATATGTGACAATTGTGATGTAGAGAAAGGATCAATATGTGACAATATTGATACAGATAAGAGATATATATATGGAACAATAATAGTGTAAACAACAGGAGATGCCGATGAAACGATAAACTTCAGATAAATATCCTATTGTATATATTGATGATAATATAGACAATAAGATATATATGTGACAATATTGCTGTAGACAACAGAATATGTATATGATAATATTTGCCCAAGAAGTAATGGCCTTTCCTAGAAATTAAAGGCCATGAAGAGATATAGCTTAAAATATAGAATTCTAATCAAACAAGTGTGTATGTCTGTATGTGTGATGTGCAACCCAAAACTTCCGTGAACTTAACTGGATAAAAAAAAAAATTAGTACATCGCTGTATCTTCCTTGAAAGTACTAACTTCCATCATGCATGCAGTGACAATGTATCAAGAACAGACACAATATTAATTTTGACTACTTTATACATAGGCAACAGCCATATTTGCAAAATGTTATTCGCATACTAGAAAAGAAGGATAAATAGGTTTAATAGACATGTCTATTCTTTTGCAAAAGGCATACATGTATATACAGAGTGCGATGGAAAAATTGTCGTCTAAATTACGCAAAAACGAAAATAACACTGATAACAAATATAGTTAGCAAAATTACACAAAAATATTTTGTAATAGTAAAGAATATATTTATTCAATAATATCGCCATTGGCTTCAATCACGGCCTCCAGACGACTCCTTGTTTAAGTTGGTGAATGCTGCCATAATCCTTGCCTTCAGTTCATCTTTGGTGTTACAAGGAGTTTTGTTGGACTCTCGCTCAACTGAGCCCATGCATAATAATTAATGGGATTGCAGTTTGGGGAGTTAAGTGGCCAGATGTAAGAGAAGATATGGTCGCAAAAAGTTGTCTTGACAGCCATGACAGGCTTCTCCTGCTTGTGTGGCACGATGCAGAGTCCTGTAGTCAGATATAGGGTCTTCCATCAGCCACCCTCTTGGTCAAGAGCAGCACTATCTCCTTAAGGCACTTGGTGTAGGCCTCCGTGTTGAGTTTGAGGCCCTCACCAACAAATTCAGGATTTCTTTTCATATCAGAATGATCAGCGTGAGTTTTCCGAGTTGCTGTACCTTCGTAATCACCATTAGACTCATCCAACTCTTTCCGAATCCTCTGCACTGTCCTCAGATTGACACCCAAACACACTGAAGTGTTCGTATTGGATCTTCCGGCGCGAATGCCAAACAGTACAGCATGCCTTTTCCATATATATATATATAGAGAGAGAGATAATATTAGTGGTAAATATACACATACATATACAAAATATATAAATATATATACATAGATGCATACACATACATAAAAAATTCCAAGAGGATAGAATCCAGGTAGAACTCAATGTCCAGGACAGAGTAAGGATATAATAAAAAGGCTTAAATACTAATATTCCATGGTCATAATTTATTCCATTGGAATCGTAAATACGATCCAATTCATCAGACCTACAAATTCAAAACAAAAACAAAAAACAACTCCGGAAATAAAAATAGAATTTAGAGAGATTGTAAGTATGAGAGTGTGGGACGAATGTTAGAGCTAAAGAGGGGTGACAGACGAGAGAAGGTGGGAGATTAAAACTTAACAGAGAGAAGTTTTAGAGGGGTGAGTTGAAGACAGTTTAAGTGAGAGAAATATGAATGTTGTCGGATGTCTAATACATTAAAGATGTAACCGGAAAGGATACATTTTCTGGTGACATATACACACAATAGACGATCTAATCTTAAAGATCAGAAGAGGGAGATATATATATATATATTTGTTGGATAGTAGTCTCTCTTTTATACAAGTTTCCTTAAAAACAACAGGCGAGGTACTGCAATTAAGTTTTTTATTTAATTTTTCTTGTGTTCTTATAATTCTTTTCTTTTCTGGGTGTAAACTATGTTATAAAAATGTTTTTGTCTGAGCGCTTTCGGCTATAATTTTAATTAATAAGGATGATTTTATTTTTACTTTTGACTGAATTTATGGATTGTTTTATATGTGTATCTTGAGTTATAGTAATGTTTTATTTTGCAAATACGATCAGCACATTGTGGCTGTGTTCATGGTTAATATTATTATCTTTAGTGTTGACTTTTTCTTTTTTATTAATAATGCTTCCATTATTTTTACTCTTTTTGCATGTGGATGAGTTTATTATATTTGTATTATCAACGAGTATCTTGTGGATAGAGTTTGGTAGGTCTCCATGTGTATTTAAATGGGACCTAATTGAACTATGGTCAGAGAGATGCAATGTGAGTCTACTTGTTAGGCATGTTGTAGTATATCCAATATAATCATTTATGAATTTTTGTTAATCAGGAACACAGTTCCTTTAGGGACATGTGAATTCGTAAATGATATTGGCACTCTGTAATTTGGATACATAGATAAAATTATAGTAGTTTAATTTTAATACCGACGATTTTTCTTCTGACGAAGCATCGGACGAAAGTTACCTTGAGATTTTCTATTTTTAATCGAGACGATACTTTTGTATCCGATTTTTGATTAATAAAATGTTTCCTATTTTACGAATAATAAAACAATCCATACATTCAGTTAAGAGTAAAAGTCATTCTTGATAATGGCAAAAAGTATAGCCAAAAGCGGTCGAAAAACCATTTTCGATTCTCACCCGTCGATGTGCAGTGAAACCAAGTTGCATCTTTGCAGTGAGTAAAATGGTTTTGTCTATATGATAACTATAATAAAGGATATATATATATATATATATATATATATATATATATATATGACAGAGAGGGGATACATAGGATTACTTCATCAGACTTCTCTCTATTCTAATATAACATACTGTTCAACTTGTGTTTTTAAATCAATTGTCGAAATGGCATTTTGAGTAGTTTGTAATGGAAATATCTAAACAAACCGTTTCTCTGCAGACGCACAGACGCGTAAGCACATGTCACATTTAATACGCGTGATCATTCGAGGCATGACATTAATTTCAAATCTGAGCTCGCAATTTTGATACTCTGTGTCTCCTCCTCTTTCTCATTTCATTTTCCAGCCTCCCTATCCTTCTCTCTCTCTCTCCAATCCTTATCGTTATTTTGTATTTTCTCTTTTTCAGTGTGACATCTATTTTATTTCTTCTGCATATTCTGGAATCTGTGAACGAAGAAAAGAAGATTCTTCATTGTCTCCGCCATCATCTCCATCAGGTAAGAGCATCAGCAAAGCAACGTCATTTTTTTCAAATCTTTTTCTTTCCTAATTCCTTTTCTTTATCTTTTTACTCTTTTATTTTTTTCTCTTTATTTATTTGTCTCTTTCTTTGTTTTTCTCTTTTCATCTTTCTTTTTTCTTTTTCTTCGACTTAATTTTTTCGTTTTCTATTTGTTTTCTTTCTCTTTTCGATTTTGTTTTCTTTCTTTTACTTTCTTTTTTTTTCATTTTTTATTTTCTTTTTTCATTTTTGTCCTATGATTTTTTTTCTTTTTCCCCAAAATACCTCAAGAAAAAGGAAAGTCGCATAAAAGACATCATTTGTCAACTATGAATGCCCGAGGGACAAAAACCAAAAGCCATGGTAAGCAAACCGCCGAGTGCTGATCGAAGGAATTCTTTGTTTGCATTGTTTTGTTTCTCTTTCTCTTTTTTGCTTCTAACTGCTAGCGACATTTTGGATATAATTTCTCTGGAAATCTCCAAAGAAAAAGCAGATTAATTCACTCATATTTTTTCTTTATTCAACAGATTCGAGAAAATAATCCTATAGAATTTGTATATTTTTCTTTTCTAAATCATTTTTTTTTTTTTTTTTTTTCGGTTTCAAAAAGAACGCGTTATTGGAGAATTTAATTGATGAATTAATGTCTACTTTATGTCTTACAGTTAAAATATATTTCATGACATTCATTCCATTTAAAGTCTCTGTGTTCAGAGAGTGAGTTATCTAATTTATTGAATACATATATATATATATATATATATATATATATATATATTAAGAAATGGACAATTTATTTATTAAAAGACATTTTTTATGTTTAACGTTCTTTTTATAGATACAAGTATTTAAGTAAACGCTCTGTTTATAATAAACAGTATTAAATAACATTTACCGGCCTGAATGCCAGAGAAATTTTCATAGAAAATATTCGTCCTTTGACAGGATTCGAACCTGCATCCCATACGGAACCGTCATTTACGCTGACGTGCCTTACCGACCAGCCACAAAGGAGCGTTCGGTAGACAAGGTCGAATTTACTGCTTATAAACTTCAATCTTCCATGAATCTCGTACATTCATAACTGCGTTTACTTAAATACTTGTATCTATAAAAAAGAACGTTAAACATAAAAATGTCTTTAATAAATATATATATAATTGACATACATTTAGACAGATGCGCAATTCTATATGTATGTCTGGAGAGAAATATATTCTTGAATATTACAAATTGATATATATATATATATACGGTGGCAATCATTCACTATACAGTGACTTACAATAACAATTAAGACAAAGCAATTAATCAACTGTCCAGAAATTTATTATTAAAATGGCTCAGGTTAATTATGGTTAATAACAATAAAATGCTATGGTAAACAATAGTAAATTACCAATACTGTGCAATGCATTCAGTGTATTCCCTACAATGGGAGAGAACGCTTCGGCAAATGTCACCAAACAAATGTTGATAAGCTCCAAATATAAACTAACTTTGATCATTTATAAGCTACAGCCGTGAACCCGTTTCTGTGTCGTGTGTATTGCTTTGATTTTTCTTTTCTCATTCTGCTTTGCTTTTTTATTATAAATAACTGGAACTGCTCAGCAACCTTGACATATTCGGGAAAGATATCAGAATAATCAAGAACCTATACTGGCAGCAAACAGCATACATGCACATAGGGAACGAGTTCAGTGAATATACAAGAAAGGGGCGTAAGGCAAGGATGCGTCTTCTCACCTGACCTGTTCAACCTGTACAGCGAGGCAATTCTGAGAGTTGGGAACCCTACCGACATTTAGCGTTTGCGGACACAATCTCAACAACCTAAGATAGGCAGATGACACAGTACTGATAGCAAACACGGAAAGGAAACTACAAAATCTCCTACAGCAGATAGCGACGAAGAGTGAGAAGAAGGGACTAAGCATAAATTACAAGAAGACAGAATGCATGGTCATCAGTGAGAGGATGAGCCCGAAATGCGATCTGAAGGCCGTGCGGAACACTAGAATCAAGCAGACTCGGAAATTTAAATACCTGGAAAGCGTTCTGACAGAGGACGATAAATGCGACACTGAGATCCATAGACATATTGGGATGGCCAAAGACGCATTCCAAAAGCTGTGCAGAGTATTACGAGACAGGAGGATTTCTTTGGTAACAAAGAAAAGGATACTGAGCTGTTATATGACATCTTTCCTTCTTTATGGCAGCGAATGTTGGACGATTTCCTCAAGGATGAAGAAGAGACACGAGGCAACGGAGATGTTGTTCTACAGAAGGGTGCTGAGGATTTCGTGGACCGAGCGTGTAAGTAACGATGAGGTCTTAGAGAAGATGCGAACAAGGAGAAGGCTTATACTTGACATCAGGAAGAGGCAGCTGAAGTTTCTGGAACACATAAGGAAGGAGGAGGGCCTGGAGAATCTGATACTCACGGGTCGAATAGAGGGAAAGAGAGACAAGGGAAAGAAGCGTGTGATATTCCTGATGGGCTTAAGCAAGTCGATGACAGAACGTGGTCTGGGGGGAGATAACAGAGAGGGGGGACTTGTTAGGAGCAGCCAGGGATAGGAGGAGGTGGAGAGCCATGATCGCCAACGTTCTGAAAGGACATGGCACATAAAAAGAAAGAACTGTATAGTGACTATTTCCACTCTGTGTGTATATATATATATATATATATATATATATATATATATGTGTGTGTGTGAAATGAACAATGATGTATATAATAGAAAATAAAATTAGATGTTCATTTATCTTTTTTCTGCTCTGGGCTTAGCGGAATTACATCCACTTTTCAGAAGACCTTATTGTAATCTTTTACACACAAGTCTCCGGAAGGTTAAATGGACTTCCGCAAAACTCAAACTAGGGACAAGATAAGTGAACATTCTGTTCCCATGGCAGGAAATTGAAGGAGATAGTTTAATGGTACCTGAAATTGGTACACAAGAGGACACTCACAAACTTTTAATTTTCATTAGTTTTCTTGCGATCAATGGTTCTGCAGATCCACGCTTTCCATTTACTGGTTCCGAGAACAGATAAAATGGAAAATGCGAAACCGAATATCTGAACGCGTGCTGGAATAGCGAAAGGTGTCTTCCAAAAGCTAAGCAAAGTATTAAGAAACAGTATGATTTAATTAAAAATAACTACGAATACTGAACAGCTATGTAATATCAGTCCTCATATATGGTAGTCAATGCTGGACAATCTCTTCATCGATGAAAACTAGACTTGAACCAACAGAGATGTTGTCTACAGCAGGATGTTGAGAATACTATAGATTGGACCTGTGAGTAACGGCTAAATTTTAGAGAAAATGGAAACAAAAAGGACACTTATAAGACAGCATCAGAAAGAGATAGTTAAAATTTCTAGGAAAGATAATGAGGAAAGAAAGCTTGGAAAATTTGATACATACAAGGACAGATTGAAGGCAAGAAGGACAGAAGGAAACAACGAATAAGCTTCCTAACAAGCTTGTATAAATGAACAAGAGAACAAGTACTTGGAGGGGTGATAGAGAGACCAAGTGTTACAAAATGCAGAAATGTGTACACGTTAATTGCGTAGCGTTGTATAATTTAAAACTTAAATAAAATTTAGAATCCCATTTTGAAATTTTCAGGATATATAATAATAAAATATGGCTTGGCAAATTTGACACTCACATGATATATTGCAAGCAAAAGGGACAGGCGAAAACGACGATTAAATTACTAAATCAGCTTGTTTAAATGAATGAAAGAACGGACTGCGGGGGATGTTTAAAAGACAAAACATTCTAAGAACATCAAAGGACAGGAAGTTGTGAAGTGCCATGATCTGTCACGTCCTGAAGGGTCATGACATACAGAAGAAAGAGAAAATAAGATATTGTACAGGGTGCGATAAGTAGATGTCACCATTTTATATCTTTTATTTTGCGCATGCGCATTGTTTGTTTATTATTTTTGTCGACTACACAGTGTAGTCGGCTCAGTTGGACACAGTCTGTGAGAAAAAGAGCACCATGACGCAATTCACTGCGACAGAAATTTGGAAACGGCATGCTGTACTGTTTGGCATTCGCGCCCGATGGTCCAATACAAACATTTCAGTGTGTTTGGGAGGACAATGCAGAGGATTTGGAAAGATTTGGTTATATATCCAACCAAAATAGTTTTTGGAGTGAACACTAGTGATGGCGATGTTATGCCTTCATTCCTCTTTCCACAGTGCCCCAGACTTTACACAGAGGCCTACATAAAGCGCCTTAAGGAGGTAGTGCTACCCTGGGTCAAAAGGGTGGCTGCTAAAAGACCCTATTTCTGGCAAACGGACTCTGCACCATGCTACAAAAGCGGGAGAACCCAGTCATGGATATCGGACAATTTCTGTGACAACAATACCCCTTACATCTGCCCAGCTAACGCCCAAAAATAAAACCCCCTTGTTTATTATCTGTGGCGTGCAGTTGCGCGAGAGACCAACAAAACTCCTTGTAACACCAAAGATGAACTGAAGACAGGGAATATGGCAGCATTCACCAACTTAAACAAGGAAATAAAATAAAATAACTCTTCTGGAGTTACGGGAGATGCTGAAGTCGTCTGGAGGCCGTGGTTGAAGCCAAAAGCGATTTTATTGAATAAATTTACTTTGTAGTATCTTAAGGGTTTTTTGTGTAAGTTTGGTAACTATATCTGTTAAAATGAAATGTCAGTATTATTTTTATTTTCGCGTAATATAGACGACAATTTATCCATTGTATCCTGTACATGCGTTAATTACACAATGTCGTATAATTTTAAACTTATTTAAAATATCGAAACGCTTTCGTCACATTTTAAAATTACTACGATACATAATGAGGAAAAAGTGCTGGGAGAATTTGATACTCCCACGACATATTGAAGGGAAGTGAAAAATGAGAAAAGCACCAACAACTGACACAACCAGCATGTGTGAGTTAATGGCAGAACCGGA